CTTCTCTTCTCTTCTCTTCTCTTCTCTTCTCTTCTCTTCTCTTCTCTCTCCTTTCTCTTCTCTCCTCTTCTCTCCTTTCTCTTCTCTCTTCTCTTCTCTCCTCTCTTCTCTTCTTTTCTCTTTCCTTTCTCTTCTCTCTTCTCTTCTCCTCTCTCCTCTTCTCTCCCTTCTCTTCTCTCTCCTTTCTCTTCTCATCTCATCTCTTTTCTTCTCTCCTTTCTTCTTCCTTTTCTCCTCTTCTCTCTCTCTTCTCCTCTCCCCTCCCATCTCCTTCTCTCTCTCTCTCTCTCTCTCTCTCTCTCTCTCTCTCTCTCTCTCTCTCATTCTAACAATTTGAGCTGTCACAAAGTAGAATGGACTTCCTTGAGGAGGAAGAGAGTTGTTAACCACTGGAAGTCCTCAAATGGAGGCTAGATAAGTAGTTCTTAGGGATGAGATAAAGCTGATTCCTGTTCACATGTGGATTGGACTTTGGTGACCTCTCTGGTCTCTTAGATTTGTGACTCTGATCTAGGGCAATGAGTGATTAAGATAAAAGAAAAAAGAAGAATAAGAAACTTTATCAAAAAGAAATTCATCCATTTAGTTCAGACCTAACTATTTTGATAGAGCCTTTTTAGCAGGTGATTTGGAAATTGATGAGATGTCACTAATGAAATTAAAGTAACTTGCCCTAGGTGACTCAGTTAGTACAGTAATTAGTAGAACCAATGGCTTGTCAGGAAAATATAAACTTCTTGGGAGGGGATGAGGGAGTAGGGGGAGCAGGAACTATCTTCAGACTTCTTGTGGGGAAGAGGGTACTTTATGTGAGAAACAGGAGTAGTTTAGTCAATCATGGGAGTATACCACTCCCCATCCCTTTCATACTGTAAATTAATAAGCTGACCTGTTTTTTGAGTCAGTTTCTAATGAATTTGATTAACAGAATCAAAGTAGTTGACTGTAGGGCCTGAGAACTGATAAAAATCTTGTTTTATCACCTGTAAAACTGAGAATCAGGATGTAAACCTATGTTGATCCTTTGCTGAAGTTTCAAATATAGAATTTTAGAACTAGGAAGTAATATAGGCATCGTCAAATTCAAACTTCTCTCTTTAAAACCGAGGAGACCAAAGATCAAATGGACTTTCCTAAAGTTACATAGCCCAAGAGTTGCAGAGCTGGGACTAAAGGCCAGCTCTAGGACTCTCTACTCCATTCCACTGTCTTACCCATGCCTTCCCATCAACTAAACTATTCATCATACCTTAAAAGAGATTTCCGTTGTCATGGTGAAACCATGGGTAATGACAGGCTCTTCTTCTGCTGTTCGTCCCTTCCAGCAGTCCAGCTCCACACAGCGACAGCCAGACAAGAGTACTTGGCGATACATCTCTACTGAGGAGTTGCCAGCTAGCTGGCCAGCTGTGGAAGAACAAGAACATGAGACCAGAGCAGTCAATAAAAGGAAACAAGAAAAGGTAGTATAGGCAAGGTCTTTCAACACTACATGAAAAGGTACTTCTCAAAACTTTGCTAAAAGACTTTCAAGTGAGTGACAAAGAGCCACCTCCACACCGCAATCACACCTCCCCTCTTCATGAATTCCTGAACTCTGTCAAAGGATACCACCATCCTTCAAGTCACTTGGCTTAAAATTTCAATTACCTTTTTTTTCTTTTCTGTCATTCTCACTATCCAATTGACTGGCAAATCTTGTCAATTCTCCCTCTATAATAGCTCTTACATTCCTCCTTTCTTGGAATTAGGAGTATCATTTGAATTTAGGATGGGATCACTTCTTGCTTGAACTACTACAACAGGCTTCTAATTAGTTACTTTGACCCCAGTGTCTCCACTCTCCAATCCATTCTCTACTAAGTTGTCAAATTAATATTCCTTAAGTAGAGATGTCCTTTGATGGACATTTAAAGTCTTTCACAATCTGCTTCCAGCTTAGCTTTCCAGGCTTATTGCATGTAAGTCTGTTTCATATACTCTACGTCCCAGCCAAACTGGCTTACTTACTGTTGTGCCATGTATTTTAAAATTCCTACTTCCCCACATGGCCCAGCTAGAGACTCCCTCACAGAGTATCTCTTTTGACTTTTGCTATCACAATAACTGTGTTTATTTTGTAGATAAGTTGTTTCTCCCAAGAGAACACGAACAAAGACTATTAGACTTCTGTCTTCATATTCCCTGTCCCTAACACAATGATTACCACATAGTAGGTGTTTAATAAATGCTTGCTGAGTGATTTTGTCTCTCTCAGTTCACTGTTAATTTTTTATTTTATTTAATTTTTATAATTTGCATTGACATGTTTTGTTTTTTTTACATCACCTTTATTTCTGAATATAGTCTTCTTTCTCCCCCACCCGTATAAAGCATCCCTTGTAATAGTCATTTAAAATAGTAATACCTTACACTGACATCATGCTTTATAGGATCTTATAGTAATAGATCCATACTTAATCAATATCCTTTACCCTGACTTGTTATCATTCTGGGACTTAAAAGTCACATCCTCATTCCGATCTTCTAAGGATCAGCAGAGGGAAGAAAGAAAGAGCTAACTACAGAGAATGATAAATTGGAAAACCCTGAGTTGGGCCCATGGAAAAAACAAAACAAAACAAAACAAAACAAAACCTTTCTCACGTACAGCTGCTTGCTAACTACATTCCCCTCCTGCCCCTCATACCTCCCTTCAATCCCACTGGAAAACCAAACAAACCAACCAAAACAATAAAAATAATAACTAAACAACTATAATAAATACAAATAGTCAAAAACAAATGCCCATATTGTCCAAGTCCAAAAATGTGTCTCATTTTGCATATTAGTCTATCACATCTTTGGCAAGAGATGAGTAGCATTCTTTATCATTGATCTCTGGAATCATTGTTGGACATTGCATTGATCAGAGTTTTCTAGTCTTTCAAAATTACTTTTAATTAAGTTGTTATAGTACAAATTGTTCTCCTGGTTTTATTCACTTCAACCTGGATCACTTCATATAAGTCTTCCCAAGTTTCTCTGAAAATATCCCTTTCATAATTTCTTGCAACACAATATTATCCTATGGTATTATTCACTTAATATAATTTGTTCAACTATTTTTCATTTGATAGGTACATACTTAGTTTCAAATCTTTGACATTACAACAAGAACTACTAAAATATTTTTGTACATAGCCCTCCCTCCCCGCCCAGTCCACTATCCATTTGGCTATCAGATGGATCTTCTTAATGTGCAGATATGACTATGTCACCTATATACCTAATAAACTCCATTGGTTCCCTTTTACCTCTAGGATCAAACTTAATACTCTTTAGTTTTTAAATACTTTTATCACCTGGTACAACCTTACCATTCCAAAATTCTTACACCTTACTCATTCCTATGTACTCTGAAATCCAGTGACATTGGCTTCCTCCTTATACATTACACTCTATTTCCCAACTCTGGGCATTTTCATTAGCTGTCCCTTGCCTGAATTTCTCTCCCTTTTTGTCTCTGTTTCCCAGTTTCCCTAACTTCCTTTTAATCTCAACTAAAATTCAACCTTTTTCATGAAGTTTTTCCAGGTTGCCCTTAATGCCATGCCTTTTCCCAAGATTATCCCCAATTTATCCTGTATATATGTTGTTTATACATAGTTGTTTAAATGTTGTCTCCCCATTAGACTGTGAGGTTTTTGACAGAAAGTATTATTTTTGCATTTCTTTGTATTCCCAAGACTTATCATGGTGCCTGACACAGAGTAGGTGCTAGATAAATGCTTTTTTGACTTCACTACTTTAGTACTGCCCCATCTTTCTTTGATCTCTTTGGGATATAAGTCCAGTACTGGTATCACTCAGTCAAGAGTTATGTACAATTTAGCAATTTTGGGGGCATAGTTCTAAATTGTTCTCCAGGATGACTGGAGGAGTTCATAGTTCTACCAACAGTGCATCGATGTGCTTTAAGACATATTTATAAACTAAAAGAAAGATAATTTTTAGATAATTTTTATTTTGAGTGCATCTATATCACTATCCTTTGCTATTACAAGGAACACTAATGAGTAGATGAGATCATTTGCTCCTAAAGAGTTATGTCTTTATGAAATGGTAATGATTTTCTTAATCATTTTATGATGAAGAGATATTATTGAGAATATATTATTAACATAGCCTCTGCTATAGTTCCACATATACAGTGTTAAGAGACTGTGTGTGTGTGTATTAAATCATGCTACTTGTACTGTCATTGGAAATTCTCATATAAAGTTCTAAATGAACAATGGAAAATGTTGGTTGTTTCAAAATTCATTATTCAAAAAAATTATCCTCAACCCACAAAATTAATATTAGTACCATACAGATAGCCTGTCACCATATTCTCCACCTCCATTTTCATCCTTTCTTTACCATCCTTTCTGTACCAAACTTACAAAAAAGTAAAAGCATTTACCTATAGAAAATTCAGGTAGAATTACTGTGCTCCACCAATAAATATAGGGATCCAAGAAACACACACACACAAGACATACACACACACACACACACACAGACACACACACACACACAGGGAATAGTGAGCAGAGACAGAGTACATTGTAGTTTTTTAGCTGAAATATAAGAGACAGATATGTGTTTGCAGATTTATTTTCAGACCTAGCCATTTGAGCTAGTGTTTATCTTGGGATAGTAAAAAATTGTTAAAATTAACCCATACCCTTCTCAAAATAATCCATGAAACACACTGCCTTTTTAGACAAGACTGCTCAAGAGGCCTGTTATGATATTTAGAGAAAGTACAGGATAATTTATTATGGAATAATGCCAAAAGAATTATTCACTAGTAACTAGTTGATCATAGAACTCAAGAGCTAAAAGCAATCTCTGAGACAATCTAATCTAATTCACTTTTTTAAAATAGATGAATAAACTGTGGCCTAAAGAGATTAAATGATTGACCCACTGCAAATTGGTAGTATGTCAGGAAGGAGACTAGAACCAAAATCTCTTCACTCTTAGTTCAGTGTTCTTTTTTTCTTATTTTCCCTTTCTTAAAAATAAGTTTTTATTTGTGTCTTTTGTTTTATGCATCATTATAGCTTTAAGCAGTATAACTCCTCCTCTCCTTGCCCCTCACTAAGAGCCATCGCATATGACAAATAGTTTTTCAAAGCCAAAAAATAGATGAAAACATCAGCGTAATCAATCAATACATTGAAAAAAATCTGAAAACATGTACAATGTATAACTCCTATGAACCTCCATCTCCGTAAAGGGGATAGATTGGGTATCCTCTCATATTTCTTTATCAGTGGTTTTTTTTTTTAACATCCCCATCACAAGTGTCAGTGTTTGCTCTCTGACCCAAATTTTTCTGCCTCCCTTCCACAAAATATTATTGTTTCAAGTACTCTGACAAAACTCTTATTCTGCTCTGTTTCCCCCTAGAAAACTTTTTGTCACCTTTAGGTATATTTTCCAGAGTACTGTAGATCCTTGGTACAACTAGAAAGAATTCCTAGTTCCACTATTCTGCCATATTCATTGTAATAATAATAAGAAAAAGTATAAGAATAAGAATAAGAATAAGACAGGCTTTCACATTGCTCTTGCAGGGAAGCTAAAATATTTCTGGCTATTTTCTTTGAACTATGAGTCTTTCAAATATCGGATGCTCTACCCAAAGAAGGTTGATTCTAGAGAGCCTACAAATATACAGTGTGTGTCCCCTAGACAGAGTTACATTTTCACTCTTGAACTCTCCCCTTTTCAGTGATCTTTAAATTCTTTGAATTATATCAGGAAGACGTTCTAAAAGGTTTTCTGTACTAAACAATAAAAAAGTACGAACTGTAAGAGAGATGATTTTCTCTGGTATCTGAACTCTCACCTCACACTGTGCCTCCTTTTTCCTGATTCTAATTCATTCTCCACCTAGATACTGAAGCGTATGTCTGTCTATACCATGCCCCTACCCAATAAACTCCAGTGACTCCTTATTACTGTTGCCGTTGTTCAGTAAGTTTTAATCATAACCCTATTTGGGGTTTTCTTGGCAAAGATATTGGAATGATTTGCCTTTTTCCTTCCCGATCACCACTAGGATTAAACATAAGTTCTGCTGGAATATAAGCTCTTTACAACCTGGTTCATTCCTAACTTTCCCGTCTTCTCAAACATTATTACCCTGTGCACACTATTGGCCTACCCATCATTCTTTACACATTAGGCTCCATAACTATATACCTTTGTGCTTGCTATTCTTCAATGCAAACACTACTTTTATAGGAGGCCTTACCCTATGCCCCACACCTCCTCTCCAGGTGCTAGTGCCTTCTCTTCTAAGATTTTCTTTCATCTACATTATAGTACTGTCTTCTACTACCTATTTATTTACATGTTGTCTCCTCCAT